GGGGTAAATTTAATTGTGTTTTTGTTAAGTTTTTGTTGGAAGATTTATTTAATCACATATGGAGACCAAAAAGAACATTTGATGTATTGAAAGAATGAGAAAAAAATTGAAGATAGTGTCTTGGAATTTAAATGGCTTGGGAGAAAGACATAAACTAGAATTGAAAAGTCTATTCATAAGGAAAAAGCAGATATTATATTTTTACAAGAAACACATCAAAAGAAAGATGGAGTGAATAAATTAACATTATATTGGGCAGATGGATATGAAAAATTATACAGTACATCAAAAGCAAGAGGTGTTGCAATTATTGTTGCCAAAAGATGTGAATTTAAAAATGTAAAAAGAGATCATTTGGGGAGATTTCGTATAATACAAGGTCGATTTATGGACAAGAGGTTACTTTAGCTAATATATACACACCTAATATAAATCAAAGAGAGTTTTATGATAAGGTGTATAAAGAAATAGAAGAAATGAAAAGAGGCTATGTGATAATTGCAGGTGATTATAATATGGCTATGCATAAAGAAAGATAAATCTAACCCATCAAAGTTAGATACAAAATATAATAATACAGATTTAAGATTAATAAAAACAGATTTAAAGAAGTTTGGAGAGAGTTAAATGGGAACCAGAAAAGTTATACATTTTATTCAAATACTGTAGACATAAAAATTTTACAAGAATAGATTACATATTTGCAACACAAAAAATATTGTCTAATATATCTAATGTGGATATAAAAGTAATTAAAATATCAGACCATGCAATGTGATTATAGACAGGCAAATAGATGGAGGATATATCTAAGAATTTTTTAAAATTTTCTAAAAAAGATTTTTGAAAAAATGGAAAAAGAATTAAAAGAAATATGGGAAATAAATGAAAAAGGTAGTAATACAAGTGTAATATGGGATACAATGAAAGCAGTGGTAAGAGCTAGGAATAAAATATTCATATAATATAAAAAAGAGCAATATATAACAAGATTAGAAGAAGAAATTAAAGCTTTAGATAAAAAGTATATAAAAATTAGATAAAATTATGCTAGAATTAACAGCTATAAGAAAAGAATTACAAAATATTGAAATAGAACAAGTTCAAAGAAATCTAATTTATTTGAAAAGAGAATTTTATGAAAGCAGTAACAAAAATTTCAAAATGCTGGCCAGAGCCACACAAAAGAGCAAAAAGTTTAGTTGGAGTAATAAAGAATGAAAAAGGAGAAAGATGTAACAAGATGAAAGAGAAACTCTTAATTTTTCAAAGGTTTTTTGAAAAGTTATATAAGGGAAATGAAATAGATTTGAGAGAAAGTCAGATATATATAGAAAAGAATTTAAAAGTGTAAAATTCGAGAAGAGGATAATCATGGAAACTTGAAGAGATATTGGAAGTTATTAATAAATTGAAAATACATTAAGCATGAGGATCTGATGGATTGGGTGTTGAATATTATAAAAATTTTAAAAAATT